CTGCCAATAACAGCCTACCCGCAATTACTTTAGTTACTCTGTGATCATGACGCTTGCAACAGTGCCGAAATATCGGAAACTTGCTAAAACAAGGTACATGGTAACAATCCCGTTAATAACATATATTACTACTCCAACCATACCTAAGCCTTTGATGTAGGGCCAAACGACTAGAGCAGCAAAAATATTTTACAATCGGCCATGTGTTTTAGTCGCGTCTCTTTTGCTGCGTCTTTTTTTTAGATGAATATACGTCTACCGATTCGCATTGATTTAGCTTGAATTTGAACTTCGTGTAATCTGGTAAATCGTGCAACTAAAGTAAAATTACTACAGTATTTTGCGTGATACATACTACCTACATTTATTTTCAATAGATTTGAAAACTTTATATTTTTTAGTAGACGGCCTTCTGTGCGGTGTAGAGGAAATATATATATTTGTTTTTTTTTTCCTACTCCTCCCTTAAGCCCGTTAAGTCTCAATAGAGGAAAATGTTTAATGATGAATACGAACATCATTTTGTATCTGGGTCATGGCTTTTAATATGATCATATTTCCACAAAAATATATATGATTAATTTTGCATCTTTATACACAGTGCGTCTCACGGGTTTGTCATACGGAGGGAAAGTATATTAAATATTGAAGATAAGATATTTTACTGAAAGAAGACATCATTTTATTTTTAGTAATAACTAGAACTGCATTCACAGATTTTTGAAGTGAAAACTTCTTTAGCGGCGTTGAACACTTTTTTATAATGGGTAAAAAATGTTAAACTCGCATCAGGACACGTGACCTGATCGAAAATTAGTAAGACGGATGGAGGTTAGACAGCCGGCGCGGCGTAGGAGAGGAAGTATCCCCCTCTCTTTCTACGGCGCGGCGAAAATGTATGCCTGCGCCTGCTGTTTCGTTTAGGCGGCGCAGGGCGCTTGCGCGAATGTTCGTGTGTATTTATGTTACAACGTGCCACGCGCATCCATGGATGGTGATAGCTGATGGCTCGACCGTCTGTGTAGTGGCCACACTGCTGTGTATTCGTAAAATTCCTGTATATAAAGTGTTACTGATAATTAAAGTAATTCGTGCAAAGTTATTCCCTAACCATTCCAAAATATCAAAAATGCACAACGTTAATATTCAAGTTTTCACTTCTGCCGGCACTCCCGGAATGCAAGCCTTCGTTTTTTTTAATCGCCTGTTACAACTGGGAATCAAACTCGTGAAATTTGAAAAAAAAAACCGTGACGTATTTAATGATAACCATCGAAAGGGTTATTCATAAAGATTATTATTTCCTTAATAACGTAGTATTTTAAATGAAAGAAAGATCAAGGACTTATCATTAAAAATAAAATGATTTCTTCTTTCAGTAAAATATCCTATCTTCAATATTTAATGTACTTTCCCTCCGTGTGACAAACCCGTGGGACGCCCTGTATATTGTGTTTACATCTGTTGCCCTTGTACCAATCCCTTAACACAAATCTTACAATGCTTAATTTGGTTGGGGTTATTGGGGTCAATGTAAAAAATATTTACCTATAAGTTTCACCCGTATCTTGGAACAAAATGCGTACAGACCTTCTGATCTAATGGTCCTGGGTTCGGTTCCCGGTAAGGACGTTACTTTTTACTATGTTTATTTAATCATACGGATTCGTTGTTTAGTTCCCCGTTCTTTTACCTACCGAAGTGGTAGGATATACAGCGATCTGCGAGTCAGATTAGATACCTGTCGGGATTATTGTTCTTCTATCTATACTCTATACATATACGGTCGCGGTCAGAAAATGTTTATCACTTTAAGGATCATAATTGCATGCACACATTTAGATAGATTATATTTTTTCTAATGCTATAACAATCAATCGCTGTAGGAGATGGACTGACTACTATCAAGGTTTGGTATAATTTTTTTTTAAATACTTCGCCTCACACTAAGATTTTCTTCTGTAAGGTGGATGTAATCAAACAATTAATCTCACATGCACATTGCACATACGCCCAGACCAGTACATATTTCTGTAGGCCATACAAAATATCTGTGCCGTATGGGAATCGAACCCGCGACCCGTTGCGCAGTATGCGACGACCTCTGCACTAGCTGTGACGTCAAACAAATGTAGAAAACCATTGAAAAACTAAGATTTTAGTTTTTTAACTAAGAATATGAACAAAAAAAATAAAAGAGAAACTTCAAAAATCGTTATTTAATATCTAGTATAACCTCATCTGCAGCTATGATGGCACGTAGTCTATCTCGCGTAGAAGCAACAAGACGCGCGCATAGATCGGTCCCTCTAATATCATCCCACACTTGAGCACAGTATGATCTAAGATCATGAGGTTTCCTTTCATTTTGACAGTCCCAGCGTTGAATCATAAGCCCCCATGCATGTTCAATAGGGTTTCAATCAGCAGACCGAGCGGGCCATTGAATAAAACGAATGTCACGGTGCAGGTTGAACCACGCCATAGTAGCACGTTCCGTGTGTATCAGTGCATTATCTTGCGAATCAGTAATGTACGGGAATTCTGTGGCAGGATACACTACGCACACAGTAGGCAGTACCACTTCTGCCAAAAGCGACACATAATTAATGGGAGTAGCCCTATTTTCTAACGACGCCAGTTCTCCGACGCCACCGCGCCGTCGAGGCTCATCCACCCTCATAGGTTTACTGTTATGCGACCTGACTCGTTTTGACGCACGATATGAGCTTCATCATACCAAGTTCGATTATAGCGCCATAAAGATAATCTTTCATTTGCTTTATTTCAAGGTTTTCTCGTCGGTAAATATAGTATTCGACCAATCAAAATCGAGATGTTGTCGCGCAAAGTTAAGCCGGGCTGTTTTATAGTTAGGTTTTAGCTCCACTTTAATAGCATGGTAGTAGTGTAGTCCAGCACTGTACAAAGCTTGTCGGATCGTCCGAGCACTTACATCATTTAACGCAGCAAAATATTTAGTTGTTGTGGTTCCGTTCTACAAATAAACATTTCTGTTATTTGCGCGGCGGTTAATATTGGTCGTCGTCCTAAATTATTTATGGGATCTGTTAATTGTCCTTCTTTGCCGTGACGGATCCAGTGAATCGCGATATATTGCGTTCTCGTGATATTGCACTAATACTATGTCCATCTTCAAATAGGAATATTATTTCAGCCCCTTGCTTCAAGGTCAAACTTGCCATTTTATTTCGTACTGAAAATTTCTTTTCGTAAAATTTTGCTCTTGTCTATACAATGTTCAAACAATCATTTCTTATAAATGTCATTTCAACAAATAAAGACATGAGTTTCAATATCACAAACTTTTGAAAGGTAATAAGTTACTGGATATGGTATTTTAGACTTTAGTGAAAAAAGTGTATTATAGAATCTAATTTCAAAACTGGTAAACATTTTCTCCGTACATACATATAAATAAAATTGGAGTGTTTGTTTGTAATGTTTAAATAACCGCTTTTTACTACATGCATATGAATATATATACGGTACATACACCAAAATAACATTTTTTTACAATTTTTGTCTGTCTGTTTGTTCCGGCTAATCTCTGAAATAGCTGGACCGATTTTGACGGGACTTTTATTGGCAGGTAGCTGATGTAAAATAAAATGGATGCGTGTAACTTATGTACGCGTGAGAAGTTATACTTCTTTAGCATCATTAAAAATATTTTTTAATTGCATGCAAATAATTAATAATTACAATAAATAATAAAAGGACTGGAAAAGGATAGTTAACACAGTCAATTAAGTTCAGTTTTAATTTGAAAAATTAAATAAATATTCAAAATATTCAATTAAAATCACTACTGAATTTAAGTTATTAGTCCATATATAATTAGCACTTGTAAGTAACTAAAACACGTTGTGTCTATATAGAAACTAGAAACATGTGGATAAATATTATAAATATGAAAACAGTGATCAGAGGCGACGAGCGTGCCAACATTGTTTTTGACAACGCGATCATCTTATGGAGCTCCGTGGATCGTTCAAAGTACCTTTCGAACAGATGTCTAATAATTATAATAATAATATATAATAATATTATTATATTTAATACTATGGTGTTACAGAATTGTAACTATCATCACGCCGCCCGTTACTAGATGGCGCTGTACGCATGTGAATCGCGCTATCCTATACCGACACCGATTGTATGGCACATCATAGGATCAAATATCATCACGCCGACCGCTACTAGATGGCGCTGTACGCATGTGAATCGTGCTATACTGTACTGACACCACTTGTATAAGGTGTTCTTGGGAAATTGACCAAGTCATCGCTTCGTAGGTAGGGCCCATTGTCTTGCACGCTATACGCTTCCACCACGTGGGACGTCTTAGTGTCTTGATAATAGTATACATGTACTTCCACCAGGGATGTTAGATGGGCACCTAGAAATCCTTGTGCCGAGCTGGCTGAAAGCTGGTATTCGAACCGGGAAACTAGTACGCCTGTGCTCCGCTCTGCGGCGCTGCCAATTCTGGGAGCTGTGTGGGAAATCGCATCATCCCAGTAAAAAAATATACATTTCAATTTCGTAGACCGTTAATAGAGGGCAGTGATTATCGAACACACGCAAGAAATATCACTTTTAACATTTTTTTTTGATATTATATTGCATTTCGGATATAATATGTAAAATATATTGAAAAAAGTAAATAAATGATTTATAACGAAGATCTTTTATGGAAAACGACGGTTCGCTTGAGCAAACAATAGAAAATAACTCAAACGTAAACAAATTTGGATGCCGAAAAAAATGCAGACTCTATTTTCGACTTCTTTCACTATAAATATCAGCAGTAAAATGATTGGGCGATAATAATTTTTATGTGGGATGTGGTATTTATCTGGCAAATTATATGAACCGTAATGAACCATGTGAGCAATGTTATATTTATTTATTAACGAATTACATAACAAGTTATTAAAATATTTATTGAAAAAACGTTGAACATAAGTTTGTTGAGCAATATTTGCACCGCTAATGACTTAGATTTCCTCGAATATCACGTCCAAATCGCTTATAGTTCGGTGATCTTCTGCATCCGCTGTTTGTTTGTTTGAACCTTCGTACAAAATTGCACTCGTCATTCGACTATGCATCGCTTTCGTCGGCTCAAACGCGGCACAACACTTGGCGTTCAGTTTCACTGCTTGCGAAGCCAGCATAGCGCCTTCAATGTTCTGTACCGTCAGCCTGTTCCGACTTTTTGTTTTCACCAAATTATATTTGCTGAAAACTCTTTCGCAATCGGCATTTGCGTGAGGAGTACAGAGAACTGCCAATGCGAATGATGGTAGCTCTGTATATTTTTTGCAGCCCTCAGAGTCGGTCAATTGTGAAATTTTGTGCCAAAAAATGTCGGGTTCTTTTTCCTTGGCCACGTCTTCAGGGATTTCGTCGAGCGGAAGACAACGCCATTCGTCATCCAAGCGCTGGAGAGCTTGCGAGTTCTCGGGCTTGGCTCTTGGAACGATGCTCCAAAGGTCGACGAGCGATTGACGTTTGCTTCGCTCATTCTTTGATAAAGCTTTAGATGGATGGAGTAAGGGAAGCATATTCAGTAGCGGATCATCGAAATCGAATCGCTCTTGAATTCCCTTGCAAAGTTTGATCAGGAAATTGCGACATCTTGCCCGAAAATCTCCTATCAAGTCCGGTCTTATCGACACTTCGGGTTTTTTCAATTCTTCCAACACTTGTACACCCAGGTATATATTTTCAAGTGGGATGAATTCGGTTTTATTCTCCGTATTAACTTTGCTGAGTGGAGTCGTCGCTATGTACTTCTGCGTCATATACGTCGTGAGAAGCTCTTTGAAAGCACACTCCATTTTTTGGGCGAGCGATGTGATGACCACCGATTCCGATTGGAAATATGCGTTCATCGTGACGACCTTGGGTAAAACCCACGAGAGGAAGTGATAAAACAGCTTCACGAACGGGTCTCTTAGCCACAGGGAAATGGATTCTGCTGCTAATGTTCGTTCCTCCATGTGTCGTTCGATGAAATAGAGACGAAGCGGCTCCCATTGCTCCAACATGCGATCCACAACCGAGAGTAGCGAAAGCCAGCGCGTTTGGGCTGGATGTAGAATTTTGTGCACAGCTACATTCAAAAATTTTTGAAACACAGCGAGACTAGCAACGCGCTTCGCGCTGTGCTGTACGTAGTTGTGTACATTCCTGGCGAGGTCTTCACAGCTCCGAGGAATGTTCTGTTCGCATGCTTTGCTGGCCGCTAAGTGAAGAGAATGGCATATGCACCTCATGACGATTATCCCAGGGCAAGACTCTTTCAGGCGACTTGCGATCGAGTTTCGGGCTCCAATGTTGACACTTGCGCCGTCACAACCGAACCCCAATATATTCGCGAAGGGAATATCTTTTTCTTCAAACGATTTCATGAGCAAATTATATAGGTGCCGACCCCTAGCTCCTTCCTGAGCTGCCGCAGCATCGTCTTCCGGAAAAATGCTCGACAATTCCCAAAACATGCTGGTGATTCGTCCAAAATCTTCATTGTAGAATCGAACTACAATACATGCTGTCTTTACGCTGGAACAATCCGTGGAGTCATCGGTTAAGATCGAAAACTTCCGTTTTTTGAGATGGTTCGCGATTTCCTCTTTATGAGAAGCACCGATGACGTTGGTGACGATTTTTGTGGCCTTTTGCCTTTTCATGCATACTCCTTCTAAAATTTTTGAATCTGGGAGTGCCGATTTCATGCATGGAATGAGATCATTGACCACGGCATAGGGAATATTGTGAGCAGCCATAAAACCACAAATCTTGATCTCCGCGTCCGTTATATTTTTATCCCGAGCGTTTGACGAAGCTTGAGGTTTGAAAAATTTGGTCAAAACTTTTGAGCTACATTCGTAAGCTGCAGCGTTTTTTTCGTGTTTTTTTGTTTGCTTGTGCGTTTTGATTAAACTGATGTCAGCGATAAGGATGACATTGCACCATTTGCACCTCGCTTTTGTATTCGAAGCTGGGTCCGGTCCGAGCCAGGGCGAGCATTGCGGATCTCGTTCCCATTCGACTCGATATTTTTGAACCCGATGTTTTTGTTTTTTGACCTTTGCACCTCCAGGAGCCAGTCGCATTTTTTTTGGCGTGGGGGGCCCGTTCCCCGAATCGTTCTCATCAGTCTCGTCCTCACTTGCAGATGACATGATTACCTGGATAAAAATTTGGTAAGTTTACCATCACCACCATCACCAGTATCCAGTATCACCACGGCTATTACAATCGCGAAAACGCAAAAACATGTTATAGCACATGCAATAAAACGTGTACAAATAAAAAAAAACGTCGACATTCAATGAACGAAAAAGAAAAAAAAATACTGACGAGATAACCCGCTCGATAGTATGAAAGTGAGTTATTGCTGAGTTAGTAGTTAGAGCAATTAATATTTGAGAAATTTTTTATGAGAAAAAACACGAGGAATTCCAAGGTCAATCGAAGGTTTACGTAAAATAAATAGTTCTTGAGTGTTTCACTTACGGTAAGGACGAAGGATGAAGAACAACAAAACAGAGCACTTTCGAACACTGGCTGATTGACACTCGCGGACTCGCCTTATCGCCTATCGTCTTTGCTTCAGAATGTTGTTTATGGTCTCAAATGAATATTTTCGAAGAAAAAAGGAATCGGTCATGGCCCTTGGGCCCTGGTTTGTAAATGTATGAACTGCAAATGCGAACAAAGTTATATAAATTAACAATACCCGTAGTCCAGGGTCTAAACGGATAGTAAAATCTTGCGAAAAATAGGGTTATAATTCTTTTGGAAAAACTGATCAAGTGATGTCACATAATCGAGCTCACAGAACGGCAAATGTGTTCGTCGAATCGTCGATAAATAGCATCCGTACCTTTTTCTGGATAAAAACGCACAGCGTTTTCAACACAGCGCACACAATTCACACACAACGAATCCAGTCATCCGAAATTAACTAATGAACAAAAACAAACTTTTATTTTTCTCTTTTGCTTCGCGGTTTCAAATCGTATGCAAGCCGAGGCCGAGACACTGAAGGGTATAAAAAGGTAAATATAACAAGAAATCAGATGCGAAGTGCGAAGATGGCGCAGTAGTCGACTAGCGAACTAGCCAAGCAGTTTCACCAACCGTTCAGTGGCGACAGTGGTAAAAGCAGACAACTGACTTGCGATTTTCTGTATTTCTGTCCGTGTTAGATTCAATTTCATGTTCAGAAAAAATATTAAATAATTGATCATTTTTATATGAAAATACTCGATTCTTTCATCAATTGAAGAATATTAATCGTTTATAAGCACGTACAATTGATTGGAATTTTTTTTTACATGAATCTCTAAAATTTGTCGATTATTCTATATTGTCAGTGTATTTTTGTCGGTCAACGGCCAATCTTGGTATTTTTGCGTACAAGGACTGAATAGCCTTGGTACATGGTACGTGACACTAAAAACTAGTATGTATACCAAGAAGTTGGTACGTCTGACATCATTGACTTCCACCCTTGTGGGATACAGTAATACCATTTCTCCTACAAATATTGAATAGTAATCACAATATAAGTATTTTCTACCTACGCATATCTTTATTTGACGTCAGTCTTCTCACACTCCCCCTTCGCCCTCCCGCACATTCTTACAGTTTTATTAAATAATAAATATGAAAACAGTGATCAGAGGCGACGAGCGTCCCAACATGTGCGACTAAGAGATCCTATTACTATTTTGTTGGAAGCTTTTTTTCGAGACTTACGAGTAATGTGCGGTTTAGCGGCCGACTTCATGGTGTTACTTTTCTGTTACAGTGTTGCGCGCGCATCTTAAAATTTCACTCTCATCATTTTTTCATAACACGCCCTCGGCTAACTTCAATAAGTTACTTTTGTGTTACAGTGATGCGCGCGCATCTTAAAATTTCACTCTCATAATTTTTTCATAACGCGGCTAAAGAAGTATAACTTCAAAAAATAACTTAGGCTTCTTCTATTTTATAAAAAATCTTTTATTATAGAAAAAACTAAAAGTTAACGTGGACGAAGACGCGGGCGGCCGCTAGTTGGGTAATTAAAGATTTTTTCATTTCCCTATAGCACAAGCTCTGCTTAATTTCTGACTAAATGCTAAGAGAGTTGATAAAAAATATCAGAAAACGACGGACTTGTTAAATCTTGCGAATTGAAATCTTAGTACCCGCAGTTTAATTCCAGTCACGGTCGACTGAATACAGTGGAATCAGCGACAATTGAAAACTTTCCTAGACTGTTCGACCATTTTCAGCGCGAACTGGAAATTGGAAATCGGCGAAACTTAAAACTTAGATATTATTCCTACTGTAACGGACACTTTTGGATTGGCTTACTATGAATCTATGCCTATATACGACCTCTTTATTATTACTGAGTAGCATCTGGGCGCTCGCGCTTATAAGAACCTTAAAGAGCCACCCTTAACAATAAAGATTTTAAAATAAATATTTCGAACACTCACATCAATTATCATAGACCTATAAGGCTTGTTTTGGATACTAGGGTGATGATTACTTACAGAAGACCGTACGTGCTTACAGAATTACAGAAGACAACCTTAAAATAACTCTACTTATTGGTGGTATTGTGTTGCTCTCAATGAATAAGGTTGCAGGGCTCTATACGTTAGGCAATGGACAAGAAATCTGAAAAATTTGGCCACTAGGGGCGCTATAATCGCTTGACCCAAAACTTCTATCAAATTGTCATGAGAACGGAAGGCACAAGTTACCAAAAGACCGGTTAAAATTTGACAGCTGCAATATTCGACAGTGGTTTGGGTCAAGCATTTGCAGTGCTTTGCTCCATTGGGTCAGGATAGACAACGGCACGAGTGATATTTATGGCATCTCAAACGTCTGTAGGCTATGGTGGCTATACGCTCACCATCGACCGGGCCATATGCTTGTTTGACACTCTTAACAAAACAATATATATATATATACACACATATATACTAGCAGAGCCTAGCGAACTTCATATCGCCATAAAAATATGGTTGGTAGAAGAGTGAAAATTATGGGCTGTATGAGTTTTACTTTTCCAGAGCAGTACGCCGTTAACTACGAAAATAGATAGGCCACCGAGGATTGTTTTCATTAACCTAAAAGCACATATACATTGTTTTAAAGCCATAATTGCTCAGCGACTATGAATTTTTAAGAGAAACTTCGGAGAAAATGAAATTGCGACATTCTAATTTCGCCTTATACCTGTTTTCCATGTAATATTACGAAGAGAGCCTTTTGGTTTTGAGAAATGATTACTACGTTTATTCAAATCAGTTTCACGTAACTTGATTTTTTTTAATGTTTTGTTAATAGAATAGGAGTTATTAATAAAAATAATCACCTAGATTCTCGAATTCTCGGTCATTAGTAATTAATAAAAAGTATGTTCTAGATGACATACAAACATATTAAGTCATCATCTAGATCTGCCGTTGGTGCCGTTTTGTGCTTTTTTTAAATCCTTAAAGGGTGAAAAACAAAGCATATTATTATTATGACCCGTATGATAATAAGTGGTCAACATAGACGCTTGCGACACAAAAAATACCTTGCCTACCCTAACCCAATTCCCTACCCCGTGGAGCCCTGGTAAATGAAGTACACAGGTGATGGGCACATCACCCGCTACAACACAGGTGATGGGCACATCACCTGTGTTGTAGCGGGCCTGCAATGCTATACTGAAAGAACAAACTGTCTTTTCACAGCGGATTCCGCGTTGTAATTTGAAATTAGAATACAAATTTCAAAGAAATTTTAAATCAAACCGGCGAATTACGCGGTGATAAGTGTGATTGTTCTTATATAATACCACTACCGGGTTTGATAATATATTTGGTGCGGTGTGATGAGCGAAAATATTTATTTCTAAATACCTACAATTATAAAAGAATACATTAACGACGACATTTGACGACCTCCGTGGCCATGTGGTTTGTACGCCGGGTTTCATGGTGTCGCCGACTCAAGAGGTCCCCGGGTTCGAATCCCGGTGGGGGCAGATGTTTGTGTGATGAATACGAGCATTTTTACTCCAGTCATGGATGTTAAATTTGTATTTCTATATAAATATACTTATATGTGTACAGTATATGTATTCTATCCGTTACCCTAGCATCCCATAACACAAGCCTTACAGTGCTTACTTTGGGGCTAGGCAAATTGGTGTGTGTTGGAAATATATAAAATATTAAAAAAAAAACTTCCGGCACAATGAAAGCTGAAACACGTACAAGATGAACCCACTCAAAAGTCATAGTTTCTGTTTAACGCGGAGCCCATTTGTGATGTGCCCGTAAAGTCGGTCGCGTCCGAGTGGTGACATTAAAACTTTTGCTGGCGACAAACGACCGCCATACTTTTGGACATTATAACTTTTTTGTTTAGGGACACCGGAATATATGATTGGGCCTCACACTAAACCACTAGTCGAATTTGTTGTCGCCCACACGATGCGAAGTGAAAGCATTAGCGTGATGAGATTTTAATTTATGATGTTACTTTCGAAATTGTAGAAAGAGCTTTTTCAAAAATAAACATTATTTTTGTAAGATGTATGTAAGTACACTACAGGCAAGTTTGATTTATCTATTAATGTCCCTCACTGCAGGGGCACAGACCCTTCCTGTGGATGGGATAGAGCGACTAGGCCGTGACCCACCACGCAGGCCCAGTGCGGATTAGAGTGCTAAAAGCTGCAGATGCAGCCGGAAACAGCGGCTTAGCGTGCCTTCCGAAGCACGGAAGAGCTCGAGATATTTTTTTTTGTCACCCATCCAATTACCGACCATTGCGAAAGTGACTTAACTTTTACGATCGCAGGGCGATTATGCTAACAACATGCGCCATCGAGCTCCTAAAATTTGAGTACACGTAAACATTACATACATATTAGCATTTAAAGAAAAGTTTTAATAGAAAAAATAGCATTTGTTGATTTGAAAGCTATTTTAACATTCCCTTAACATTTAGCAAATTTTATTACGAAGAGTGAAATCCGTTCAGTCTGCTTCTGTTCAGTATGCTGTTGGTCACAGATGAACTTTACAGCGTCACCGGGTTTGGGGACGGCGAGATTCTAAGAAGACCTCCACCTTCCACACAATTTGAAATAGAGAAGTTAAGCAACTTCCGCAATGGACAGTAATAAGATTGACACAAAAAAACTTAATATATCGAGCCTCCGTGCTTCAGAAGACACGTAAAGCCAATGGTCCCGGCTGCATCTGCAGTCGGACCAATCTCCCTATTCCACCCATAGGTAATGCCTATGCCCCAGCAGTGGGGAAATTTAAAAGGCGGGCTATGACGAGAGTCCAAAGTAGATCAAATCCTATGTCATTCTACTTTATCGACAATGGTGTACCTTTTTCGATTAATATATTTAAAAAATATATACCGGCTTAGTATTACCTACCACGACGCTTGTCTTTAAAAGCCAGTAAAGGATGAATACAAATGGTCTAATTGAAAACAAATAGTGATTGATGTCGAACTAAAAGGCTTTTTGTAGAGCCTTCATTAATAGCACCTACTTGCTAAAGATATTTTTTCCAAACCTCGAAATTGCTCAGTCTATTTGAACAGGCTCTTTAAATAAAAATTTCATCTTTCGAATATATTTTTACCCGAGCGGAGCTCGATGGCTTATGCAACTTTCGCTTATGTTCAGTCATAGGATGTGTGACCGAAATTGTACTATCTCGATCTCCACAAGACTCGTAAAGCCGCTGGTCCTGGTTGCCTCTACAATAGTAAGCATCCACTAATCTCTACTAAGCCCTATGATGAATCAAGGATTCAAGGCCCATTCTCTTTCTATGGAACAGGGCAGGCCTGTGCCTCAGCAGTGGGGAAAACAACAGGCTGGACAAGAAGAGCTTTTCACTGGAAACAAAACACTAATTTATTTATTAACCATTTAAGTTCATGCATGGACCAATATCAAATTCGAATAGTTTGCGAGTGCGAAATGTCAATGTCAAATTTTGTATGAAAACTCGAACAGAAGCGCCACAAAGGATGTAACGAGAACTAAAAATCAGTACATATTTGACGTATATCTAGATCGAATTCAACTATTCGAATTCAATAATAAGTAGTTAGTACTAAGGTTAGAGTAACTTTTTTATGTAGTTATCCACGTATCTTTGTATTTTTTTTAAATTTTGACTTACAGCTACATCCATAGATTGTAATTAAATTTAATGCTTGTAAGGTAACGACGTACCTTTGTTTTTATTCTACTGCTTTCGCAAAAAAAACTGGTATTGACATCTATGAGTGCGATCGTAAGAACTTTAACTTACTACCGAAATTCAGCGAACGAATATTAGAAATAATGTTACTTAAAACGAACATTCAGTGTCAAGTAGGGTCACCAACTTTTTTTCTATCAAATATGGTATTTCTGAAACTATTCTAAAAATATAGTAGATAGCAAAAAAAGAAAAAAAAATAGTACACAAGTGGTTAAAATATTTACTCTATTTTTGAAATTAATATTTTTTACTGCTATATGCTTTAATATTCAAGTTTTTATTTATAAGAAAGTTTTTACTGGCAAAAGTCTGCTTTATGCAAATTATAGTAGTTTTGCCTACTATATTTTAGAAATATAGTATTTGTTCCCCTAATATAGTAGAATACTATATTATATAGTAGCGTTGGCAACCCTAGTGTCAAGTGTCCATTCCACTCGATAACGCCTGCCAGTGCAGGTCTGCAGTCCCCTGCAGGTAAGTAAAAAGTTGAAAGTTACAGGCGCATAAAAAGTGCAAGAATCAGACGCCAAACACCCGAAGCGAAACGGGTGGCCGCCAGCGGGGGAACTAGGGGAAACTTATCCGAGTCGATTGTTGGCGAACATCGAATGGAGCTTTACACCTTTGAAAAAAGAATCGGATTTTCTTATTTTTATTTTAAGGCGGTTTCAAGCTGCCTTTTGTGATAGGAGCTCAGTGCGCATGGATGGAAATGTGGAATTGATAAAAAAAAAATAGGTAGTTATGCAATGTTTACAGTTACAGCCACATAAACAGTGCAAGTATCGGACGCCAAACGCCCGAAGCGAGTGGCCACCAGCAGGGGAACTAGGGGAATCTTACCCGATCTCAATTGCTGGCGAAAACCAAAGGGCTTTTTAAACCTTTGTGGTAATAAGAATCATTTATAAGGACATCAGGTGCTTAGTATGGTGGGAATGTAGGATTAACAAAAAAAAAAAGCGATGTTTACAGAATTGTTTCTCATGCTTTCGTGTATATTATTAAATTAATTCAGTTTGGCTATCATAAATGGTTGCAAATATCGTTAGGTATTCGTTTTTCTCTCGCTTTTGTAAGAGAATGAAAGGTTGCTTGAAATTTACGGATTACGGAAACATGATCAGAATAAGATAGCCAATGTCCACCATTACACTACGAGACGGCCATTTCCTCCAGTTCTTACTACGTTATTTACTCCTCATTTTCCTGCGCTTCAATAGTACCATAAAAAGGTTTCGAATTATGTTGTGGTGCACAAACACTATTGAAAAAATGACAATGAACACGAATTATAGTTTTTGAATGTACCGATGCGAAGTGAACAAAGTTAAAAATATTTTGTTCGTTGACTGAAGACTTCTCGTATTATTATTGAATGGCAAAATAGATAATACCGCACGTGCTAGGAGTTGCTTGCGTTCTACCGGTAGGGGAGCTAAGTAGGACCTGGGGCCGTATTATGAACGCTTAACATCACCCAAAAACAGCAGTTGAAGTAGGATGCTGTTCTATTGTGCGGATGTGACGTCTCACTCTAACAATGGGACTTTGCCTGGCGTTAAGAGTTGATAATACGCCCCTGTCCCCCTAGCGTGAGCAACGCGATATGATATAAAATGCGTTTTTATCACGCTCAATTGTCAAATTATCATGGAGCTTGACTGTTAGACGCGATAAAAAAACATGATATAATGTAAATTGTGGTGCTCATGCTACGGGGACTGGAGTTCTTAAACGGGGTACGAGATACAGGCTGGATAATGTGAGTAGTAGGTAACTCTTGATTCACGTCCGGCTTCATTAATACAAACCATCCGAGTATATAATTCCTTCTTATCATTATTTACCGATATCTTTAGATTAAATGATTTTACCTAAGCGTATAACACAGTTTTTTTCAAGATAATAGGTGCATTAGGCATTGAGCGCGTTTCAGATTGTACAAATATTTAGTTACCTACCTATCAAGTTTGATAGCCGAGGAGCTTGATAGCGCAGGTAGTGTGTTCGGCCAGCGATCGTGGAAGGAACTTTCGCAATGGGAGGTCATTGGATGGGTGACCAAAAACTTATTATCTCGAGCTCCTCCGTGCTTCAGAAGGTACGTTATGACGTTGGCCCCGGCTGCATCTGCAGTCGTTGGCATTCACCAATCCGTACAGAGCGTGCGAGGTGGTTCACGGCCCAATTTCCCTTCTCTATCCATAGAAAACCTGGTGCCCCACTAGAGGGGACATTAACAGGCTGATGATAATTAATAACTTTCCCATATAACAACAGCGATCAGCAGTCGTTACAAACAGTGCAAATATAGATTGCACTTGTTACGGCGCTTGTTAACGAGGCTATTTCTACCCGGGCCGGTGCCGGTTAAGGTTATTTAGATGGAGCATGGTTTGAACGTTTGAACCTACCCCAAACTATTGCTAGCGCCGCCGGTGCGGTGTCATATCAAACCTCCATAGAGTCCTATACCTAGCCGATGACTGGACGTAGACACGGTTTAAAACCGTACCTAGACCAGTACCCCAAGCACTAACCAATATCTAATTCGAATAGTTTGCGAGTTCGAAATGTCATTGTCAAATGTGTGCTGATTTGGTGTTCTCGTTACGTCCGTTATGGCGCTGCTGTTCAAGTTTCGATACAAATTTGACATTGACATTTCGGAATCGCAAACGTTACGAATTAGATATTGGTTCGTGCTAAGAGTACTGGTCTCGTTAACTGTTAGTTTGTTAGAATAAGGTACTGACTTATAAAATCTTTAGTCCTTTTCAAAAAATTTACAGGGAATGACATTCGAAATAAAAAGTGTTTTCTTTTTTATAAATCCAACATAATGCTTTATTTTACAAATACTAAAGATTATCGCCGTCTAAACATTACACTGTCAAACTATTATAATACAATGGAAACACCGCTTTATATACAGAAATTTGAACATTCAATAGTAATATTTATAACCTATGTAATTATATAAGGCACATTTATAACATCCTACTTCAAGTTGATATGAACTACAAATTTTTACACAGTTTATCGACTTTACAGCTAGGTGTTTAATTTGATGTAAGTTGTCATTGAGGCTACATTAGAATTTAATCCAGATACTTGAGAGTCTGATGAAGGCAAAAACGCTTGCTGGCTAGCACAACCTAATTGCTTGTAGACACGATTATTTTACTTACGTCACATACAGTAAAGTAAGAATATGTACAGCGCCCGCCCAAATATCAGCTCCTTTAAAAAGATCTGATTCTGCCATGACTCTTCTAAATTAAGACTGAATTTGACAGCATTTTTCTCCTTTTCATTCTTTACTCATATTTAGTTTTAGTTAAGAGAGGCATGACCAAAATGACCATTATCTAACAACCATCAATAAACTCTTCTTTTCGAAATTTGCAAACATCAGTTGAGTTTCAAGTATTAAGTTTATAGATATTTCCCAAATACAAAATTTTTATATCGAATAAATATGTAAGATTCTAAAAACTGCAAATCAGTTGTCGCTATAGAAGCTGAAATTAGAGAAATAGCCTCTGGATATAGTCCAGTCAAAACATATCAAAATGCAAACATGTCATATTTTATTTACAAAAAACTTTAACGTAAAAGGAACTCAACATCTTCGAAACGTTAAAATCAATAATTAGTTATTTAAAAAAAGGGTTTGTGATATCTAACGATAAATATCTGCAAAATATGCAGTTAAAGTTGAAATAACAAATTATGTAAAATATTTAGGTCACATTAAAGAAGTGGACTATGAATATTATGTAATTAAAGCGTTATATTTTACATGAAATAATCAAGAATGTCTGCTTTGGGAAGACTAATTGGCAGTATTTAAGTGGATAAAAACATAACACCCTTCACAAAAGTAACCAAGCAAGCAATACTGTCAAAATAAACGACAATATACTTAGGAAGGAAATCATTATTGATTCCAAAATCAATTTGAAATAACTACAGTATGAGGTGGTTTGCAAACTGTTGTTGTTTACAACAAAACAAAATTTGAGAATCTCCATGTTTTCTATACATATATCCATAAAACAGATAATTTATTAATTTTTTATATCTTGTTTTCAAAACCCTAAAGCTAGAAAATAATGTAGTTTTTATTTCTGGAATGTTTATTTGAATAAACCAATATAATAAGAACTTTAACTGTAATAATAAACAGGCTCACGAAACGGAATGTATTTTTTTGATGAATTTCGTTTAATTAGTTATATTGGATTATTGTATTTACACCTCAGAAAAAAAATAACAAAACCATGAAATCAAAAACGTAATAATAAAATTGACGTTCAGACACGTACAGGATGCAACTTAGAATATACTTCTATTGACGGGTAAATAAACTTGTTAAATTATACCATCCCACTATATTCCTCGTGAAATATATCCATTGATGATCAATTTAAAACCAGAAAAAACATGTAAATGCATGCATTAATATGCCAACGAATTAAAAGAAGTCGGAAAAACGCTCCTGGAATATTTAAGATTCAGTCGAGTTATAAAATAAAATTATTTTGAAGTATATAAACAAAAACAGTTCAGACAATATTAGATTACTAGTGATAAATTAAAAATGAAAAAAGTAGCATTACTTAACATTTAGCATTAAAACAGAAATTAAAATAACCCTATTTATAAATTTACATACATTTCTCTAGTCGAATTTACTACCTATGTCGAAATGACTAATACATTTAGTTTATGTAAATCACATTACTTGTGTAAAATCTACATTATTCAGCCATTGAAATTTATATGTATAGTTATACATAATATGATATAAAGAACCTGTAGATAAGTACAAGAATTGGATATGTACAGTTCGAACTCTAGTCACTTCTCGTTACACGACCCTATAATACTTTGTACAGAATACTATTTTGTAAAAAAAGCTATGAAATAAATAAAATATAAAATTTTGGATTTCCATTAACGAAAATACATTATCATCACAAATAAAATAAATTTAAAGCACAATTAGACAATGTTATACAAATATAACGAATTCAACACGTAAATTTCTCAGTATGTAACCATAAAAATAAAAAAAATATTTTTAAAATGATAGTAATGTTCTACAACATGAAATAAACATTGTTTTCACGAAAAAAAAATCTCTTTTTATAGTATACATGTCTTAGACATGTTAACCACTACATCAAATATATAATAAAATTTGCGTAACACTTGGCTAATTAATGAATAACAAAATTTTAAATATTCACTCCCAGGTCAAAGTGATTTAGGCCAAATACATGGGGTCAATGACAAAAACATGTAATAACGAATTCGCGGCTACAACTATTTTATCAATACGTACACTCAAGCCGTTATTATATTGAAACCTATTTTATCAATCTTTATAACAACCTTATATAAAATGGCCTCATTAATCCAATATTTTTTTGTATCACGTTAATCTATGCTCGAAGTTGCGTTTAAAACAAGTGATAAAAGTTCAACACTTCAGTCACTTCGTAATTACAAGTTTGAAATGAGTCCTTTTTCTCATTTTAAATGAACAGAAGTTCGTCATAGGCCTCTGGCTACTCGGCCGTTAGCTCCGGTGTCAGTCTGTCAGGGTTGAAGTTCTCCATGTTCCACATTTGTCGGGTTTCACCGTCGTTACATGACTCCATCACTATTTTGTCTTTACTTCGTGATATCGCCATGCATTTCTCACTGGAGCCATGCTTCAGCAGCTTTGTCTGTAAAGAAATATAAAAACAATTTACTTTCTATATTTCTGAATTTGTATAACACATACAGATATGTCAACTTAAAGCTGTGTTTTTTAAGGATGATTGTACAAACATAAAAGTCGTTCTGTTGTTAGAGAAGTTTCTAAAAATAATGACATCTACAAAGATGTGTCCAGTTATCTTGATTCGTTTTATAACATTTAATCAAAATTGCATTTCTACAAATGTAATGTACTTAACTACTTAAGTACCACTTAAAAGAGCTAATTTCACTTACGCTGGGATCGTACAGCCAAAGTTGATTGCCTTTAGCCCCGTGGCAAGGGTACAACACGACGTCATGGCCCGAATAGTCGAGACATGTCTCATCGCGTCGGATCTCGCCATTCTTCGAGTACATCCAATACTGTAAGCGTATACAATAAATAATTTAACACAACTATTGATCAAAAAGAAATCCATAAAGTTCTGAGCATTGTTCTTTCTAAGTGTGAAAATCTTTCTAATGTAACCCATACATTTCAAATCAACCTTTTTGAAAATACTCAAAATAATATAATTAAGATACTCGTAGATCATAAAAATGTAATTAATTGTAACAATTTAATACTTTACCAAAACCAACCCGCAAAACACTCAAAATTTTAAATAACCACAAAATCAAAATAATGTATTACTGAATAAATTTAGTATTGGTATGGTTTTCAAATGTGTATTTACAAATATAGGATAGGTAAATTAGTATATGTGTAAGAAATAAAATTTGTTAAACTAAAACTAATATAAAATCCCTAGCGGCAGTACCAAATTTGGAAGAGTAAGAATACATTATGAAAATAACCAGCAATGAATTATATCACGCTTCATCGGTGACTGGAATCTGTATGTTTTTGAGAGCCAAATAAGCCATATGATTTACGAAAGTGAATAATGATACATTATCTAGGTTTTGTTACAATAATATCGTAGTCCACATTAGTATGAGGTGACAAATGAAACATGCTAAACATAATATTTGTGTGATTTAATAACCGAAAGCAATTACACGCATTAATTTATCATTATTAGTATTCATGTTATTTTTATAATTTGATGTTTAGGATTTAAACTACCACCAAACTTACCACACGGATGATGTGCACTAAATTACCAACTACGAAATGAAAGCAAAAGCGTCGAGGTCAAAAGTAACGGCAGCCTTTGACAAACCTGGTTTCCGTACTCTCCATGACACGGCCATACGTTGATTGGTTTCTTCATGTCCTCGGGACCAGCCGCTGAGTCGAGGCACATATCCGACCATCGATTCGCGATCTGGTGCCATTCATAGGTTAAAAAGGCGTGCCAAAGCAAGCGTGCTAGCCTAATGTTATCATTTTTAGACAAATAATATTTTCAATCGACTATATCAATAAAAATTGTTTGAAATACTATGAACATTATAATTTTTCAATAGCAGTAAGTTTCCCAAAAATGATAACATCAGAATAAAGTGATAATGGAAATGAAAGAAAACAAACAAAATAAAGAAATGATCGCTTATTCCTCGTAATAGAATAAGTTGGCTAGTATTCAGTCACAGATAACTAGCACCATGAAATCCACATTTAGCCCCTCAATTTTCTTCTGCAGATACCTGTCTACCACCAATTCCGTGGCATTTGTGAACTTTTACGGGCACTTCTTCTACTTCTGTATCCCCATCGAGACAGTAAAGTCGTCTGAATGCTTCATTGCGTACCTATTATTAATTATTATTTCGAAATGGTGATTCGTGCGTGTGCATAAACCTCATTGACTGAGTTGAGACAAAACAAGTGCTGGGAGTGCTTATGAAATTTGAGTAAACAATATATTTTAACACAGACTCCAACAAAGTGGTACTGCCGCATTAGATCGTATTGTAAACGACAGTAGACCTGATTTCCTCCCTGCCGATGACACGGATACAGTCCAACGGGCTTATGATGGTCTGACTTGCGCGTCGGGGAATCCAAACATATTTTTTGGAAGGCGACATTTCGTATCTGTACAGGTAATAGTTTTGAAGAACACATAAATAAAAATGCACTCCATATTTCTATGAGAAATCAATCCTTGAAATCTGTTTGAAATATACTATATTTTCACTATTCAGTGATTAATGTTCATAATGAAATTTTCTATTGATAAAGAAAATTATATATGAGTTAAGGTAACAAAATTATGTTTTTATGACAGAAATATACATACCTCGCCGTGAGCTACTGATTCTCCAGGAATGAAAAGCTCTGGGTAAATGTTCTTCAAATACCATTCAAAGGATTTGCAACCAAGTTTTTCCCTTAACGCTTTTCTGCCGCCAACATCACCATAATCCCCTTTATCGTTACCTACGCGCTGATAGTAGTACTTTGCGTAGTCATCTAGCCACACCTTAAAATATATAAAAAGTTTGACTAAAAGACGTTTTTCACAAAAAAGTAATAGATATTATGATGTTAATGCCACAATTTAAGCACAACTTAGATGCAATTGAGATTAAATTATTTTTTGTATATTAAGAACTATGGAAAATATACCTCTGCCAACCGGACCGAATTCTTCTTCAAGACATTGACCCCAGTTCGCCATTTGTAAGGTGATCGCTTTCTAAATATATGCCCAACGTGAGAACATGGCACTATCTCTAAAGTGCCGCCACACATCCACGTCTTGAAGGAAAGTTCTAGATTTTCCCCACCCCATATATCAAAACCGCTGTCGTACGTGCCTAGTCTTTCGAAAAATTCTTTGTCGATAGCAAAGAGTCCACCAGCCATCGTTGGAGACCACACCGGCTCTGCCGTATGTTGGTGTCTCGATCTTTCCCTAGACGGTACAGGATGCCAATTAAACTGCAGATTCCAATCGAACCCTCCGACATTAACTGATGTCGAGTCTCTGTAGTGGTATTCTAATGTATTGTCGTCGATAACATCGATAACAGGGCACACTACTGTCGTTTTATTTCTGGCGATTCTGTCTAAAAGCGGTTCCAACCACCCTGAAAAGTTATAAAATGTTGAGTAATATGTTAGACAAAGTGGAATGCTAAAAGCCGTTTTCGGTCCTTACCCTCAGTGCACTCGCAGTGACTATCCAGATAAGTGAGAACTGGAGCGGTAACATACCGGGCTCCAAGCAATCTGGCTCTAATGAGACCTTCGCGACGTGCCGCTCGTACTATCCTTACTTTGGGGAGAGACGACATGTAGTCGTCTAATTGTTGCATCAAGTGTGCTGAAATAATCATTAAGAGATAAATAATATTGTTTGTTTCCACTTGTTCATTTCCACTAATATGTCTGCTTCGAATGCATATTAGGACATGTCAGGAATTTAATTTAGAAAATTGAGTACCTATGTAGAGAACAAAAAACTTTTGATGTGACTAATTTTGAATGTATCACAATCAACGTATTAAATGCCGTAGTTACGGGGGAACATCCCTATATTATGGACCGGAATAGGGAGAAAAAACCATGACTTATCACGTGAGCCTATTGAGCTTGGTGGATGCTAACATGCCTCCAAAACGTGTTAATACGTTTACGGGTAATAAAAATAACAACTTAATTGATTATAATTTAATAATTGAACTAGTTACATGCGTTTTTAAGCTGCAGTAACCATATTCTTATTTGGTGGCAAACAAAAATATGGTTACCGCTGCTTAAAAACGCCCGCAACTGTTTTAATTAAGAAATTATAAAACTGGCAAACTATGAATTAGAATCAAACACACGAGTATTCCTATCACATAACATTTTCTTACTTTTATATATTATGAGGATTTTTTCTTTAAAAGGTCAGCCTTATCAACTTACAATGCTAATATTTGAAACGCAGCTAGTTTTAAGGCCAAGCAGAAAATACAGTTCTGCAAGGATTTCAACTGTCTACCAGACTTGCGGACAGGGTGGAGGAGGAGCTAAACTTTCTCAATAAAATGTTTATTTTTTCTTGGTTATCTTGATAACAAAAAGGTATAGTATAGAAGTTTTGGGATAAATAGGTAACTCAGCAAACATAGAGTTATAGTCTTATCACAATAAGCTATCTCTTCCAGACCAAAAGAATAGTTAATTAATATATTATTAAACTTACGCATATCAGAAAAATCGTCGACGAGGATTATTTCTTTGATTAAATGAGAGGGTGATCTATCAAGAACTGAATGAACAGTCCTGAGAAGGACTGACCACGCTTCATTGTGGAAGCATATTACCACTGACGTCTGAGGAAGGTTTTCTAGATATCGACCTGGTTGCTTGCACCTGAAAATTTAATATTTATAATTGTATTACTTAAAAACAATGCTTATTAAGTTTATATAAATCTCTCATGCTGAACTGAGAGCAGATGATGATAAATAAATAGTGCGATAGCTGTATATTTACTATAAATTATGGGTAATATTACCAGTCTGTATTTGTTACTCTCGTGTCATTACATCTTTGATTTACCATTTTTATTACAAAATCAGTTAAGTTACATTGACTAAATATCTACTATGATATTGATATGACTTTAATTATGGCCAAATAAATAATGGAGCATAAGTAAACAAACAGTTTCGTAAGTAATAAATAGTAATCGACAAGCAATTAAAATTAGTTAAGTAATATATGAAATTATAATCAATACACCTACGATACCTACTATTGACAATACTTCAGCACTCATAGAAAACTTTGTTACTATTATTGACAATATCCTAGTATATTTCAACAACCTCGGATAGTACGGATCAAATCAAACTAAATCCCGTCCTGCGGGACTTTTTTATATTCTTCCAATCGACTTGCGAAATCTAATGTATCATTATATTTCATTTCCTTACCATTCGTCCCTTGGGTCTGGCAGTTTCCTCCGAATCGATATGAGGTCGCTGACATACTGATTGAAAGCGTTCTTTTTCCATCCCTCTGAGACAGCCTGTTTCGCGTCCTCGCTTATGTTCTTCGGTAGGACGACCGGTTTGCCAAGTTCACCGGGAGCGTTGTCCGAACCCGGGGCAGCTAGAACGCCTAGACCTACAGGATATTGCTTATTAGTACTGGATATCCTTTTAAAGCCGACTGTGGGAATGTTTTAAGTTGTTTTATGAATATGGGAGCATAAACTTGTAATACAACTGCTTGGTAAAAAATGAAACTCAAAAGTGAACCTCACGCAGATAGCAAACTAAAATTCTAAAACCCAATTCAGAATCAAACTATTTTTAATGCTAACAAACTAAAACTCAATTCAGAATCAAAATATTTAGAGATTCGGGACAGTTATATTCGAATCAAAATGTAAGCGTAGACAATCCAATCACCATAACCAGTTGAAGAGCCAAATGTTCCATATCCGACACCGACAATATTTGTAACCGCATCAAATTGGTATGTTTAAACAAAGCGTTTGAAAATTACCTTCGTTCCCAGAAAGCCGACCAATCCAATCGACCCGCGTTCGTGCTGTGATGGACAAACGCACATTATCATGCATGTATGTCTAAATGAAGCAACATATAGTAAAAACCAATATTAACACTATTGCATGCAAAATAATAGGTAATGAAAAAGTTAATGTTTATGTTACCATTTAATAAATAATATTATATTTATTTTATATAGATAGAAGAATTAACTGGATAGACATAAGAAAAATTATATCAAATCTCAAAACTATTTGAGATTATTAACTATCTTTTATATTTTTGATGATTTTTAATGTAAGCTCGATAATAATATTAGTTTTAACGTATTTTAAACAAATTTTAAACCACTTACACTAACGTTCCTGAATAAAATTTTAGATAAAACCAGTAAGGAACATATCTTATCATAAAATAGTTTTATATTAATTTTATTTCAGGGTGTTTATGCTAATGATTCATAATATTGAATGGTTAGGTAAAAATCTTAAAATTTAGTGTTTTTTATATTGTAAATGATTAATTTTCCATATTATTAACATTTATGAATTTGAAATAAGCCAAGTCTAAGGTACATAATGTTATCTTTTGTTTATTGCAGTGCAGTATTGTAATAAACCAACGGGAACCCTTTATTATGAGACATAAACAATCGTCGAATTTATACAGTAAATGAAAAAAAAATATTCGACAAAGTATGAAGAAAGCTTAACTAAAATAAGTACTGAATCTCATGCTTTTAAAAAAGATTGTATAACTTACCGTCTGACAAATTGTTGCCATAAGACTCGCTTTTCTTTTTAGTTGCAGTTGGCTTGGCTATTTTTAATGGCTTAGCTTCTGGATCATCGTATTCAATCGGTGGAGCCCCTAGTGCATTCCTCGTGCCTCCATTAGTAGTCAACAATGCTACCATGAACCATAGTGCTGTTAACACTAGCACAGCTTTCAAAATTAGCGTTCGTCTTCTCAGGAAAAACATAGTGTAATATTTCATTTGAATTTCTTTTCTTTCCTTTTATAAGTGACTTAGAGACACCACTCAATAGCTTTTTTATTTAAATCCTTATTTTAAATTTTGAGCAAAATAGTTTCATTAACTACGATCACAAAAAGGTGACTAGCGTAAAATAAAGAGATATGTGTTTTGTCAGGTTCTAATAAGATATGCCTTTAAGATATGACACTTTATTTGGAAACCCCCGATTCACTTCACATGTCTTTGGTAAGGTTTCGGCTATGATGTCGTTAGGCCGTTCCAAAGTTTAGCAGTTTTCTTTCTAGTTTTTTGTTTCATTTCCGTAGCGACCGACATTTCTCGTCCATGTTCTTAAAAGAACTATCTGTAACAAACACAATACAAGGTCTAAACAAAGTGTTTATTTGAAATAGACATTTTATTCAGAAATTTTGCTATCAGCAGAGCACGTATATAGTCATATTCAAGACAAAGTTTTGACACAGCGAATGCATAGACGGACAGTATTTCATTTATTCAAATATAATTTTAAACATAAATTTAAAAATGTTTTGAAAGATGTTTTACCGTATAATGTTTTGTTCCAAGCAAGAGTAACTTGATAATCAATTATAACTTTGAACAGTATCGTTTGTACGGCCGCCCGTGAAATCTAAACATATTGCATAGTAAGCCCTTTTTGGGGAGAAAACCTCCCCCTGATGGATTGTTCTGCTTCGTACATTATCGGGGCTGACTGGGGTCGCCATTTTTCAAGCGAACACCGCTATTTGAAGGCGAAAGTGGAAACTTTTTGGGTCACCGTAGAATTAGTGCGAAGTATTCAAGCGTTCCGAGTTATGAGAATCTTTGCAAGTAGATTAAAAATGTTACAGGCCGAATACACGTTAAAATTGAATGTGCTTTTACTAGAAAAATATAAAGTTTTCCTTTATCGTCCATGAAGGATTCTGAATAACTATACAATATTTAACACTATGCGAGGCGGTATAAAGGGGCGGCCTTTGATTTTAGAAATGTAATACATATCATAATATTGCAATAAAGATTCGCTCAAATTTTGTGATACAGCCACCAGACAGACGGACGAAAGGATAGACCGATTACAAAGGCTTAATAATAGGGTTCCGTTGTTATTAGTTAGAGATTTGTCTTTAAAGTTATCATTGTGATCACTAAAGTACTGTTAGTTATTCTATAACTTTTAATCAGCCACATTAAAACTAAACAAATTACAAGAGGACAAAAGTTACATCAAACATTATTAAAGGGAAGCGATAAATCAAAGGCACATTTAAAAGCATTGTGATCTCATAAAACGATCTATCAAGAACGTAATCGTATGGAATAATTTTAATAAAATTTCTACGGTACCGACTCCTTGAAACATGGAAATGAGAGGGGCGGCTAAGAATGATGGGTCCACACTTTGACCTGAATTTCTTATTATTACGGTGAGGTTTTTTTTATATTTCATATACCTACACACATAAATTTCACGAATAGACCGTTTCGTTTAACAAATTAGTGAAACCCCTGGTATACTTACTGTTGAGACAGGAATGTTGGCTGCCCTTTTTAATCTAGCGCACTTTCTGTAACAAACGAAATTATATTTTTATTAAATTAATGCCTTCAGCATCATCAGTCTCTTAATGTAAATTTACATTCCTATGCCGAATTGGGAGTACATTGTGTGGATTAATTGATACAAGAAAGTAGATCCGACTGGATTCAAATAAGACGATATTTTTACATAATATATATAGGTATTGGTGACGTTTTACACGGTTTATTTTGATAGGTATAAAATTGTTGATTACTGCACCTAGGTAGCAATATTTGAACTACTACCTGAACTTAGCTACTTGCACCTAGCCGGAAAAAAAAACAAGAAAAAGTTAAATAATTCTATGCCAAAAAATACGCATAATTCTGGCTTACAGAATTATGCATTAGAATGTCAGCCAAATGAGTAAATGCCATTCGCTAATATGCATAATAATATTATGACATTTAAAGATCTGTGATACAAAGTAGATGTGGTCGGACTTTGCAATCTCCCGAAAACACGGAAGCGCTTCAGCTAGTAAAGTTTTCATCCCATCCGATGGATGTCTCCAATCTGACTAAGTGCCCTAACAACCATCGATCTAATTTAAGCGAATACCAAGCTACAACCAAGATACGGGCAATAAATTTGATAGCATCTCCACGGTTTCAAATTCAACGTAAATAACGTTAAACAGCGAATATCCGACTATCTTAGACGCTTACCGCTATAAATTCGAGTAAGCGCTACCCTGTGACTAACACTGATTAACTGATTTAGGAATGGCCTAAAAAAATGGAATTCATTTTAAAGAAGAAATGCTAGTAACAGTGCCCTAGATAATAAAAAAATGTGCTTCTTTATTTCACGCTCATCGATGAATAGTCTTGCAAAGATTATACATTCCAAATATATCGTTTAATTAGTAAATGGATTTCGAACATCAATTCACTGTTCAAGACTTCCAATAGACCAACTACGGTTGATGTGCTTCTAGCAGAGTATTACATCACCAAAAAAACTTATTGAGAGATAAAATGAGTCACACATATTGACGTTACAATTTGAACTAGTACAATGAATCAATATCGCAAGAAATCTCCTTCTAAAACAAAGCCATACCTAATTTTGAATCTCAATGCATTTTCAAAAATGTGTACGCAGCTGAGAAAAAAAAGTATAATACGCCATCTAAATAGTTTGAATACTTTGAGGGAACGAAAAGGTTTTATGAGTGGGGAACTTTAACTTGTCCTACGCACTAGAATCGCGAAGAACAATTTTAATTAAATCGCAGCTGCTATGTCACAACGCAAGCAAAGTGAGTACCTACATACAACCGCTAGGTATTCAGATTATTTTGCTTTGGGCTCAAATTGGATACTACTTACTTTTGCAAGAGCTATTAAATAAATTGTCAAGTACTTATTTATTTCGTAACAAGGTAAATGTTATATAAAATATCTTATTAATAATCAGGAGTTATAGATAACTATTTCGGTAAGTATATAATAATGGTTTTGAGGCAAAATTATCATTACTTTAAAGGTGACTTATACAAGTGACATTCTTTCTATTCGTTTAACCGATAACGTTAAATTTGTAGTGAACAATTTTTCCATCGTTAATTTTATGTGTACAAAAACATTAGATTATGGATGCAATTAATAAGCGTCATTAAAAAAATATCTCATTTTTTTAAACCTTCAGCGTTAGCGTTCGCTCGTGTTTATTTTCAGGCACTTTTCTAAGCCCAATGATTTGATTAAAACCGATATTTTTAACGGCTTGAAAAATTTAATTCTTACCAGGCGCATCAATTTCATTTTGTTATTAATAATTAATAAAAACATTATAAAAAACATCTTGAATAAAACCCTTTCCCCTTCTTTTTGTTGCTTTGCTAATATCATCTGCGTGCGCACTTTTATAATAATTTTAAAATATTAACCATGACCTAACACTGCGGTGGCACGACGACGTCGCAATTCCGCCCAATAGTCACGAGGTAGCATGCAATGACATTAATTTGAATAATTACTTGCATTCCAAAGTTAATGTTTGACAACAGGCTTCTTTTTTGTAACTACAAAACGGCTCAGCGTAAAGCAACTTCGACTCGGCCCAAAGGGAAGTAGCAATAAGCGACTTTCCCCTCTCTGTCAAAGTTATTACCAAATGGGCAAGAATCCCCCCCCCCCCCACTTCCTGGCTTAAATAGCCAAAACCGAAACTAAAAGTGTAACGTATTCACCAATTAGTATAACAGTTGGCACTATAGTGAATAAATAATGTTTTTCAATAATCATGACAAATGGGCAAGAAAATGTCAATTACAAATTAGAAAAGTAGATTGTTGGAGAAAAATAAATAAAGTTATTATTATTAGTATAAAAATAACTTTAATATAATATGCATTACCATTTCGATCACAAATATTGCAAAACAATAAAAAAAACTTAAAATATAATCTACCTAAATCTATAATAAAATGGTAGGAAAGTCAATACTGTACATTGAATATTTTTTTAAAAGAATACTTGGGGTGTGATCTAAAATCGAAACCGAAGCCAAAATTACAGTTTTCAGAATTTTTGTCTGTTTGTCTGTATGTATGTCCGGGATAAACTCAAAAAGTACTGCATGGATTTACTTTAATTTGGCACGAATATTATTAAGAAGTCGGTTCATATATAGGCTACATATTATCACGCTATCGCCTACTGGGAACGAACAGTGAACAAGGGTCAGAAAGTATGTGCAATTAACTAACTCCACGCGTACGAAGTCGCGGGCGGCTGGTAGTTGTCAATAAAAATATAGCCGGTTAGGTTCGGTTCTGTAGGTATTGAATGGTAGCTTAGCTTTATTTTACTACACCCTTATATTCAAGTGAAACGAATGTAAATCCATAGGTAGCGGTAAGTTTTCTCATACATAAAAAAAATAACGATTCCTAAAAAAATATTGTTACAATTTAGCCACCTTTTTCTCATTTAAATTCAATGAGGCGGCGAGGAAACTTAATTACGCAAAGAAGTCACGCCGCTGCAAAGTTTTCGCCTCCTGATAATATTATTTCGACAGATTCAGGTCCTTTGGACCGCATACTCTTAGAATATATTTTGAAAGAAGCGGTTTGAGAGACAGAGCTTTTCTTTTGATGATAAAAGTCCATCCCTAGATAAATAAACATCCTTAAACGTTCAAAGCAGAGGTTCTCTGAGCTTTGCCTGACAATTTAACTGGAATCTATCAGTGGACACTAGTTGATATGGCTAGCTTAAGTTCAATGGGCATTATTCTAAACTGAAAAAGCATTCAACACTTTACAAATATAATGCGAATTTGAAATTTTCAATATCCAGCAGGAATATCCAAATAGGAATTTACAAATAAATGAACAGAACCTCTGTTATCTAATAATTTGTGCGTATTTCTAGTTAGAAATAATAAATAAATTGGTTTAAAGCATATAGAAAAACAAACTAGGTACGATGCGAAAATGTTAACACTGGGTAATTAAAAAATATCTAAAGAACCACGTTTCGAAAAAAATTTTCACTGCAGTAATGATTATATACTAATCTTCTTTGCTAAGATTTTTTTTTTACTTTGATTAAGTAAAAATACAGTTTCTGTAAATGATGCGTGTTGCTTAGACTTTTTTGATGTGTGTAGTGACGTCTACACTATGACTACTACTGTTTCAATATTTCTGTTTTTGAGATGAAACCCGTTTACAGATTTACGGACGAGTAGCAGAGGATTAGTAGGTAATGGAAACTCATTTTTTTTCAGTCACGGGAACATTCTCTACGATGCCATTGGTCAAGCGAATGCACGTCTATGCGCTCCAAACTTGCACTAATGACATTGGCGATTTAGACTTACACATAGCATGAAACTGGCGCATGTAATTAGGGTTTTTCTTTATTTTTAAAACTATTAGTGCATACTAGTCTCCGTGGAAAGGAAATGGCTAATTGAATGTGCAATGAGCATTTTCCTTGAAAAAAATTAAATGGAGTACTTTTATGGTGAATTATTATTGAATATAATAATTACTACAAATTTTAATATAAGAGAACGCTAATCTATAGAATACGCTTGCTTGTGTAAGTTTTGCTTGTCACTTTATAATAATAATAATAATATTATTTATTGTAATACACCATACAAGAAAACACAAGTAAATTAAAAAAAAACATGATAGATAGAGCGTACACAATATAGGCGGCCTTATTGCTAGGCAGCAATCTCTTCCAGGCAACCCATAATAGAAAGATAAATAAATTTGAAGGAGAAAAGGAGGGGTATAGAAAATAATAATAATATCTATAGCAGGAAAACAGATATTAGGAAGGAAAGAGAGAGGATGAAGGAAATTTTTTTACATCACTGTTGGGATAAGAAATAATTTCGAACTTATCTTATTATTTTCCATAAATTGTAATCTTGAAAAGCCTTTTATTTGAATTTTAATTAGATTTTAATCATAACAATTTACTAGATTCATATAAGTGTTAACGATTTCAAATTAGCATGAATTTTCATAACCATTAGTGTAAAAAGGAATATTTTTATAAAAACGACTTTATCCAAAGCCTTGGTAGCAACTGGAAATAATCTTAACTCAATTGATCAATCAATTGTGTAGACGTGTTATTGTTTTATGACAAAAAATCAACACAAAACCATAACAAGCAATCTGACAACAGCGCACAATTCTGATAATGTGTGAGAAAATGATTTCATAAGAGTTCTTATTGGCGGAACATAGGTCTGCAAAGCATAGCATATTACGAATACCACCAGCAGTAAAAAAAAGTATACGTTTATAATATGGCTTACGTTGTTGATGTCGGGAACGTGGTAATGGCAACATACAAAAACAACATAATCATAGATGATCTCATATTGAGTATCGGATTCTTATTATGTTTATGAACAAAAGGCACAAACGTGACTCACACGATATTTAGTGTTAATGGTCGTAGCACACATATCAACCAGGAAAGGGATGATCCCCGTATCAACTCG